AATTTTAAAGTTAAACTTTATTTGTCCTCAAAGAAACTACAAATAAATTTTATTGGAAAAAATAATTTTTATTATTTGGAGTTATCTTAAGATTACTAAAATTTTAATTATAGAAATGCAATAGGAAAACTTAGTAGAGACTTGAGTAAAAAGGTTGAAACTTAAGTTAAGATATTTAGTACAAAATAGTAGGGAAATGATTTTACTATTTATAGTAGAAAAAATTGAATTTTTGAAAAATTAAAGATTGTTAGAATAATACTTTTTAAAGAGTTTAGATTCCATTTAAAATTCTTTTTTCTAATACTACATTTTAACTTAAGGATGGAAAACAAGTTCTTAACTTTGAAAAAGGGATAGTGAAATTCAAAATCATTAAAGACATGTCCAAATATAGTAATCCTCACATAAAAAGAGTAAGGATTAAATAAATCCTGAAAAAAAGAAAAATAAAAATAAAAATAAAAAGAAAAAGAAAATTAAATAAAAAGAAAAAAAAGAAAAAAAAAGAAGAGTAAAAAAAAATATGCGGAGAGAAGCTTGAGAATTATTATCTAATTTAAAATTGATTTCACTTGAATCTTTTTAAGGAAGAGAACTTAAGATCAATCATAAGCTTAATTTCAAAAAGTATTAGTAAAATTAATTTTAATAAGTCATAAATTTTAAAATTCATATTTTTTTAAGAACCTAAAGTTTGAAAAAATTTCAATTATTTCTAAATTACATAGAAAATCAAGATCCTAAGTCTAATACTAAATATTGTGATATCATAGATATCATCTAATTTGCTGGAAATTCTACTAAGTTGGACCATAACATGTCTATAAAAAAATTTCAAATCATCTTACAGAAACCAACTAAAACAATCAATATATTTTTAAAGTTGTAGTGTTATTTGAGGGCAAATAACATTTAAGTTTAAGAGAATTGACACACCTAAAAATTGCCTACTTTTTATATATATTTTATGCTAATTTTAAATGATATTTAATGATATTACACTTTAAATAAATGTATTTTGCATGCTTTTTTTGTATAACACTTGGAGCAGACTCGAGATGAAACGGGGTGAAATAGTGTGAAACGGAGGTGTTGCCAACAGGGTGGCGCCCAGGCACCTGAAAGTAGCGCCTCGGCTCCAGTCTCATACATAACCTGCGCTTAGGTGCTAGAAATAATTAAGGGGTGGTTTTTGATGATTCTTGGCTATTTTAGGGTTTTCTGGAAGATTTTGGGCGGTTATGCACGCCCCAAAGAGTTATACAATGAATTTATACATTTGGAATTTGAAGAGGTGTGTCTCTTGGAGCGAAGATGTGTGCCTCTTGGAAAAAAGGAGGTGGATGGTTTCTCGTTAAAAAAGGGGGCTGGTGCCTCTCACAAGGGATGATTAAGAGGAGTTTTTAGAGAGTTTTAGAGAGAGTTTGGGTGTGCCTCTTCAAAGAGGTCTGTGTGTGTGAGTAGGAGATGTAAATTTCTACCTTTTCTGAAGAGATTGGTCGGGAATTTTGAGAGATATGTGTAAGAAATTGTATGAGCATTGCATGAATTAGTGGAAGACTTTTTTGGAAGGATTTTCATCTTTCTTTTAGAGGAAAAAAACTAAGTATTGTGTTCTTCATTATGTTATAACTGTTGTAAACACTTTCTAGTGGATTTGCTTTGATTTAATGAAGTTTTCTATTATTTTTTATCCATGCTTCATAAGTAGTTTTTTTCTCTCTTTTCTTTTGATATGAAGTAGTGACAGGAGTAGAAAAATTTATTTTATGATAAAATAATTTTTATTTCTATGTGATTAGTAATATCTTATTTGCTTCATTGACATAACTTAAGTGACAATAGGTTATGTTAAAATCTGTTGTAAAACTAAGACTCAGGAGAGCTGTGATCTTGCAACTTAAGTGCACCCACATTGTTCTATTGGCTATGGTGAAGTTTTTTAGACACAATGCAACTCTTAAGGAAATTTAATTCATGATCTATTTCTATTAAAAACTTCTAGGTGACAGATATTAACATAAAATTAATATAATACTAAACGTACCTATACACTAGGAAGAGGGTAGGTAGACATATATTCCTTGTTGGCACATTACTATTATATAATTCTATCGATTCTTTTACTACTTATGACACCATCTTCATTTTACTTTTTTTTGCAATGAAATGGATGCATGTTTAGGAATTGAGATTTGGTTAGAAATTCTCTTACTTTATTAATGTGATAGTATTTTTATTGATCCTTAATTTACTTTGCAAGCTAGTCATTTGTAATGTTAAAATCTATTGCAAAACATTATGACCCGGGAGGGCTATGATTTCACCCAACTAGTGTGTACCTCATTAAAGTTTGGATGGAGGGGATGACACATCCAATGGGGAGTAGAAATAGATAAGGAGATAAGTTTTGATGTGCGTGGAATTAATGATTCTAGAGTACCTAAGGCTTGGTTGGTCCTACTAGAGAGGGGTCAGTGGGTAATCTAGAAGTGAGAGGTTAGAATCTACCCAACACAACCATATCAATCAGGAACCTAAATTTAGATTAGCCAATTTTTTTATACACTTAGGAGAGGGTAAATAATATGTATGCTCCTATTTGTCAATGACCGTATTAACTTCTAAGCATTTCATTCATACGCATTGTTTAGGTCATCACATGTGAAAGGTAGTATTTAACATCTCAAAATTCTCCAAATAAATTTCTCTAGTTTGATTTATCATTATATTTAGGTTATTTAGGAGTCATTATTAGAAAACACCCTTAATCATTATTCCAAACTATGAACTGACATTTGTAGACTAAGATTAGCCTAAGGGATACTTACCTTGCTTCTCTGTAGGATCGACATTCTGGTCTTAAGAGAAAACCTTATACTACTTGTAACGATACATATACTGGCGTAGAACCCCTAGTGCGTAAAATATAATTAAATTCTAAATTCTATAACATGTCTATTTTTCACATTAGCCTCCTAAGTACATTCTGTCAAGTTTTTGGCCATGGAATTAAATATCTGCATAATTGCGGGTCGGATCAAGTATTTGGTGCCATCATTAGCGATTGAAATTGATGTAATTACACATTTATGTACGTGCACATTCTAGGGGGCATCAGATTCTCAGACCAGAGGTCATTCATTTGTTTCCCTGTCTTAGAGGATCAGGGGTGAGTTGAGATGGCTCTTCACCATGTCTAATTCTTTGTCGGGGGAGTCGACTTCCTCCTCTGAAAGCAAGGTCTTGCACTCTAGGTGTCAGCGGGGGAAAGAGCTAATGTAGGAAGAAGAAGTTCCACCCCTCCTTTGAAGGGGATGAAGGAGGCCTCCGAGTGGGAATTTGTGTCTGAGAGTGCTAAGAGGTTTTGGGAGGAGGGCAACAAGCAGTTTAACATGTTGGATTGGTCTTTAGACTGGTATTCGTAGTCAGAAGGCAACAGTGAGTTGTCTTAGGCACTGGTGGATTTTCTATGGTTTGTATGGTTTGTCCATTCACTGGGAGATTTGGTCACCAAGGACTTCTCCATAATGTGGTTCTGTGGCATTTAATGACAGCATATAGTGCCCAGTTTTAGGGGCGAACCTTGATCGAGGTAGTGTAGTTACTGAAGGAAGCTCAAAAGAAGGAGACATTGTTGGAGGCCAACTGGAAGAGGCTTCAAGATGATCAGAACCTCTTGCAGGTGAGGCTTAACGAATCTGAGAAGGTCATCCAGGAATCCCATATTATCATAGTTGCCTTGGAGAAGAAGGTTGTCGAGCTGGAGGGGAAGTTTGCCTCGTCAGTCTCTGGGGAGGATTACAAGGATGATTTGATAGGCGGGTTCAGGCACGATGTGGACTATGCCACCCAATGATACATTCATCACGGCTTGATCGACCCCAAGTACTCCAAACTCAAACTCGGATGAGTTCACTAACTTAATCCCCGACAAATCGAATGAAGCCTCCAAAGGACAGGGCGACTCTGGGGACATAAAGGAGTCCACTACCAGTTGAAGGCCCTGTGATTGAAAGAGCATCATTTTTTTATTTTTGTTTCTCCTGAAACTTTGTTAGTGTAATACGAAAAAAACTTGTAATTCTTTACATATTAATGAAATGAAACTTTTTACCTTTTCATCATTACTTTTGTTACTTATGCTTGTCCAATTTTTTGTTTTATTTGGGAATTTGACCCTTAATTTTGTTTGTGCTCAGGTCGGCCCATGGATTCTAAGGGGTCGTCCCATCTTTAATTTCCTGAGCTTTAACCTTTGTTCCATTCGTGCGCTCATGACGCATCGTCCAATCAAGCGGGCATTTATCTTGGCCAGTCTTGCCTTTCTGTGCAGATCTTGTTACTACCTGAGAGCGACAACCAAGAATTTTGGAGAGGCCCTCATTGTATTTTTTTTGGACTTTATCATATATTTTTGGGAATATGTGGATGTCCCTGCTTATATCTATTTTTTAACTTTCCTTTTAATCTTCACTTAGAATTTTGTAGTTTATAGTAGCTAGAAAATGCTTATTGATGGCAGATCTACATGGTTTGTTTAACATTTCCTCCATATATTGGGTTATTTTGTAGTTATTACAGATTGAATTGAGTTATTGAGTTAGTTTTGATATCTGCAGGGTGTGAATTGACAGTTATAAAAAATTCTTATGAGTTGTTGTTTATCCACTTATTCGGTTAGTTTTGCTTTGCTTACTACTAAACATTGAAATTTCTAATCCTGCTTTTGTTAAGCCGTGGAACCCAGAAAGGTAATTTAAGCTTGTTTTTTTTTTTGATTTGAGAAAAGTAATTTAGGAAAGATAACTGGCAGTTACCGAAAGAATGGTAGAACTTGTCAAATAAATTTATTGGATTTACAGGATTTAACATTGCCAGACAATTTCTCGGATTTAATCAATTCAAGGTTTAATAAATTTAGATATACCGGATTTACTAATGTCTAATAACTTAAATCACATCCGGGCATACTTAAAAGACTGCTCTTTTTAATTATTTGAATTTGAGCCAACACAGTTTATATTTTGCTTGACACAAGTCAAGTTGGCCCCTGGACGTTATCCGTGAGAAAAGCGAACTGGCCTGTTCCAACGAATGAGTGAGTTTTCTGCAACCTTCGTTATTCTCTACTGGCACTCGTGTCTGCAATCCAGCAATCTCTCCTTCTTCGTACTGTAAATTCGGATTTGAAACAGTTCAAAAGTAGAGGCAGCAGGCCTTTGTGGTTTGATGAAATACGTCTTTGAACTTCTCTTTGTTCAAACATGAGCTCCAATTCTCTGAAAATATCTGCAGGCATCAGCTTCCCGAGCTTAGTGACGAGAAATGCAGGAGCGCTTCCTTCCTGGAGCACCAAACTTGCCACTGACATTGGCATCCAGCGAAATCGAACTTGCTTGTTCTTCTTATATAAAATATCAACCACGCACACATCATGTTCGACGAATTGTTCCAACGAGGAGAAGAAGAAGGTCATTGTTATCTCCGGACCCACTGGAGCCGGCAAGACAAAGCTGGCCTTGGATCTGGCTAAAAAGCTTGACGGAGAGATCATCAGCGCCGACTCCGTTCAAATTTACCGCGGCCTCAACGTCGGCTCCGCCAAGCCAACTGTCGCCGAGCAGAACTCAGTTCCCCATCACCTCATCAATATACTGAATCCATCTGAAGAGTACTCTGCCGGCCAATATTTTGAGGACGCTCGGAAGGCCGCTAATGAGGTTATCAGCAAGGGCAAGGTGCCTCTTGTTACCGGAGGAACCGGACTTTATCTCCGGTGGTTCATTTATGGCAAACCTGAAGTCCCAAAGTCGTCGCTTGATGTCACTTCCCAAGTTTGCTCGGAACTGAAGCACTTGCAGGAGAAAGGCATGTGGGATGAAGCCGTGGAGCTGGTGGTGAAGGCCGGCGATCCAAAGGCTCGAACTTTGCCGCCGAACAACTGGTATCGCTTGCGTCGCAGCCTCGAGATCATCAGATCCTCGGGGTTTCCTCCCTCCGCTTTTGCTGTGCCATACGACTCCTTTAAAGAACAAACTGCGTTGGAACCGAGGAGCTCGCACCCTGCTGGAAAAGATCTAGACTACAACTTCATATGCCTCTTCCTTGCAAGCCCAAGAGTTGATCTTTACCGGGCTATTGATCTGCGGTGCGAGGAAATGCTCCGGGATACTGAAGGGCTTCTTTCCGAAGCCTCATGGCTTCTCGATATCGGGCTTCGGCCGAATTTGAACTCTGCGACGCGAGCAATTGGGTACAGACAGGCAATGGAGTACTTGTTAGAATGCAGAAATTGCAGAGGGAGAAGCACGGCCGATAGCTTCAATGCATTCTTGTATGAGTTCCAGAAAGCATCTCGGAATTTCGCAAAGAGGCAGATGACTTGGTTCAGGAATGAGTTAATTTATCACTGGATTGACGCATCAAGTCCATTGGAGAGTGTGGTTGACTTCATTTGCAGTTCTTACAATGAGCAGAACGAGAAGCTGGAGGTGCCCAAGCATCTTCTAATGACCAAGGATGCGAATGTGCGGAAGGAGAACTATGAATTGAAGTCTTATCGAAGTCAGTATATGATTTTTAGGAACGAATCAGATTTTCGCCATGTTTTAGATTGGGTGCGGAGAACGCAACAAGGCTAACAGCATAACAATTATTCTTTAAATATCAGAGATTTGCTGTGGAGTGCAGAAAGATGTTTTGTTTCTTAAGGTAAGGTTTCTATATTTCATCATGAAGAAGTAGCGATTAATATTAATAAAAAATAACTGTTCTTAGTCTGTCTCATGAACAATAATGCGACTTTGATATCTGATGGGACAGTTTTTCTTGCTCTGGGTAATATGAAAAATTATTTCATACATGTCTGAGCTCCACCGTCTATCACAGTAATTTTTTTTAAAAAAATTCAAAATAGGACCCACCGACATGCTGTGATGGACGGTGGAAATTGGACACCGTATGCATCTCTGCATACGGTGTCCGTATGTAATACTTTTTCAAGTAATATAAGGTAATAATTGTACTCACTTAACTGAGAACACAGGTTAATGAATTAAAATTGGCAAAGAATAATGCGAGTTTAATGTATTTTCTTGATTAGAAGATGGGCTTTGAGCAAAGTGGCTTCAAAGATATGCTTTCGATTCATAAAAATAACTTACTCATAGTTGCATAAAACTGCAGTAATAAACTTTTTGAACTTCCGTATTAGAGGAGCCTATAAATTCAACACACAGTTCTTGGTTTCTTAGCCGTAAAATTGAATGCAATTTGGTAAAAGCAAGTTCTGTAGAAATACAATTTAATAACATGCATAGAGGAATTAAGCCATATGGGAGCGCATTGAAGAGAAAAATACTGTCAACTATATCCTTACCAGAAATAAAAGATGCTAGAGTAGGATGTGTTGAGAAATTAGGGCGAAGAAACATAGGAATCGACACAAATTCAGAAGAACACACAGAGATTTAACGAGGTTCGACAAAGATGCCTACGTCCTCGGGAGCAGAGCGGCGAATTCCTTTCAATATTCAGAAAAGAGATTACAAAATTTAGGATCACACCTAGGGTTACATACAGACCTATTTATAACTCTAGAAAACCCTAGAGTACAATATATAATTACCAAATTATCTCTGTACCTCACCCCCAACCCACATAAGGAAACTCCCTTAATTTGGACGGAATCTTCTGCTCCGTTCCAGAATCTGTCCCTTTATGGTATATGAGTCATATCTAACAAATCTCCACCTTGGCGAATATTCAACCCCTCATGAGAAATACATGATGAAGTTTTTTACATACCAGAAGTGCGTTGGGCCAACATGCTTCTCTAGCAACTGTAAGCATTCAACAAGTCCAAGCAATGCAAGAACTTGTTGATAGTAACTGACTTGGTTAACATATCAGCTGCATTTTCATCAGCATTAACCTTCTGCAACAATATCTCACCAGAAGCAATCAATTCTTTGATCTTGTGATACCTGACATCAATGTGCTTGGTTCTCGCATCGTACACCTGGTTTTTAGTCAGATAAATAACACTCTGATTGTCACAACGCAACTGAACTCCACCTTGCTCAATGCCCAGTTCTTTTACTATCCGAACAAGCCATAAGACTTCTTTAGCAGCTTCAGCTACTGTCATGTACTCAGCTTCAGTTGTAGATAATACCACAATAGACTAAATTGTTGATTTCCAACATATAGGCCCTCCACCAAGAGTAAACACATACCCAATTGTAGACATTCTGCCATCCAAATCACCAGCATAGTCAGAATCAACGTACCCTACAACTGAAGGATCATCCTGCTTACTGCCAAAAATAATTTCATGTCCTAAACTGAAGGATCATTTTGTTGACAGCCAAAAATAATTTCATGTCCTATAGTACCCTTCAGATACCTGAAAATCCACTTAACTGCTTCCTAATATCGCCTTCTAGGTTTGACCATGTATTTGCAGACTTGACTAATAACATGAGCCAAATCAGGACGAGTACATACCATTGCATACATCAAGCAACCAACTGCACTAGCATAAGGAACCTTTGCTATGTCTTCGAATTCTGTATCTATCTTAGGACACTGTTCTGAAGAAAGCTTAAAATGATTTGTCAATGAGGTGCTCACAGGCTTTGCTCAGCACTTTCTCAACATAGTCTCATTGTGATAAACATAATCATCTTGAGCATCTGTCTCGATGAATTTCCATTCTAAGAATCTTCTTCGTAGGACTCAAGTCTTTCATATCAAATTTCTGGCTCAATAAAACTTTCAAACCACAGACACCATTCATATTTTTTGCAGCAATCAGTATATCATCAACATACAGAAACATACAGTAATAGAAAGATAATAGAACGATCATCAAGACTCTTCACATAAACACAATCATACTCACATCTCTTGTAACCAATCTGAATCATGTAGGAGTCGAAGCGCTTGTACCATTGTCTTGAAGACTGTTCAAATCCATACAACGATTTCTTTAGTCTGCAAACCAGATGCTCCTATCCAGGTTGAGTGAACCCTTCTGGCTACTCCATGTAAATATACTCTTCCAGATCACTATGCAAGAAAACAATTTTAACATCCATCTGCTCCCAATGCAAATCCCAAATGACTACTAATGCAAACACTACTCTGATTGAAGTATGTCTGACTACAGGAGAAAATATTTCATCATAATCTATCCCCTTATGCTGTGAAAATTCCTTTGCTACCAGTCGAGTCTTGAACGTTTCCCCTTATTTTACTGATACTGTTGGTTTTCTTTTGTACACCTACTTGCAACAAATAGCCTTCTTTCCCTCAGGAAGCTGAACTAGCTTCCATGTGCGATTTTTCTGCAAAGACTCCATCTCCTCAACCATTGCACCCATCTATTTCTCTTTCTCCTGGCTAGTGATAGCTCCTTAAAAAAGTGGATGGATCATCGCTGCTGATGAGAAGTGCACAAGAGACAAAGTCTTCATAACCCAATATGCTAGGAGGCCTTATATTGGTGCGTCTCTGTCTGTCTCTGACTAGATTATAATTTTGCAGATCATCTAGAATGGAATCACCAGGTGTTGGATTTGAACCTTCAACTCTCTCAGTTATTTCTGGATATTTTTCTAAATTCATATGCACTGTATCTGAACTGGAACTGTTCCCTTGCACCTTGTCTTGATTCTGCTGTAACATGAACTGTTCATCAAAAACTGCATCTCTACTGATCACCATCTTCTTTGCAATCGGATCCCAAAACTTGTATCCTTTCACACATTTCTTATAACCCAGAAAGATGCAATTCTTGGATTTTGCATCAAGTTTTAATCTTTCATCTCCATGTACATACAAATTAGCAGGACAACCAAAAATCCATAAATGATCGAAATTAACTGGATTACCTGTCCATACCTCTTTTGTGACCTTGCCACCCAAAGATGCCCGAGGTGATCTATTGATGAGATAACATGTCATATTCAGATCCTCTGCCCAAAAACTAGTAAGAAGCTCTGCATTCAGTCTCAAGCATCTTGCCATTTCAGTTAAGTATCTGTTCATCCTTTCTGCCACACCATTATGCTGTGGTGTCTTGCGCACTGAAAAATGCTTATGAATGAAACTGCAAATCTGTGTGTTATGTGCCATTATCAGACCTCAAATACTTGACCTTTTTGCCAGTTTGGTTCTCCACCTCATCTTTCCACAGCTTGAATTTAGAGAATGCTTCAGATTTATTCTTCAAGAAATACACCCAAACTTTATTGGAGAAATCATCAATAAAGATAACAAAACACTGAGATCCTCCCAATGACGATTCTCTTGTAGGACCCCATACATCAAAATGCACATAATCAAGAATCCATTTAATTTTATGTTTTCCAGTCATAAAACTGACTCTAGTCTATTTTTCAAGAACATAAAATATACAAAGATCGAACTTGCAGCTTTTAACACCATGCAATAGGTTTCTTCTATGCAATTCCACCATCCCACGTTCAACCATCCCACGTTCACCACGTTCACTGAGATGACCAAGACGCATATGTCATAGCTTTGTACTATCATCATCTGACTCCACAGAATGAATTCTACCTACAACTGTACTCCCCAACAGTTTATAAATATTGCCTGCAGTTAACTTTTGTTTCATCATAGTCAGTGCACCCTTAACAATTCTGGTGGTTTCCCTATCCTTATCTGCCTTAGGAATGAAACCATTTCTATGTAAAATGCCCAAGGAAATCAAATTCTTCTTCAGATCTGGAATATGTCTGACATCACATAATGTTCTAACAGTGCCATCATACATTTTAATTCTGCCTACACCAATACCAACAATATTGCAACATCTATCATCACCTAGATAAACTGAGCTAGAATTAGTTGACCTGTATGAAGTAAACTACTCTCTGTTAGGTGTTATGTGATAAGAGCATCATGAATCAAAAATCCATGCATCCGTGAACTGAGTTGATGAAACTGAAAGCATATCGCAATCACTGCAATCTGAATTGTCACTCTGCATCACATTTACAAACTTCGATGATCCATCACCTTTCTCCCCAGTTTGCTTATTGAGCTTTGGACAATCTCTGATTGTAGCAAAAAATTGTCTTTTTGCTTTTAGACTTGGATATGAAATTTTGCCTTCTAGAACTCTCATTCTCTTTTTTCCTTCCACGATCCTGCTTACTCTTAACATATAAACTGTCACCATGAGAGTTTTCTCCTGCATTCTACTTCCGCTGGTTGTGAGCCAACAATACTGCAGTGATCTCATCAACTTTGATATTTTCTTTCTCATATATAAGAGTAGTCACCAGATGTTCATAGGAAAAAAACAATAAACACAATAAAATCATCGCTCGATCTTCATCCTTAATATTCACATCAAGCCGTGACAGGTCTGTGATTATTTGATTAAAATCATTAACATGCTGAGCCAGATCAGAACCTTCTTGTATCTTTAGCACATACAACTTTTGCTTCAGATACAATTTATTCGTCAGAGATTTAACAATAAACTGAGTTTTCAATTTTTTCATCTCCCTTAGAGATTTTAAAATAATCACGTGATACATAACTTCATCTGTCAGACATAGGCGTATACCTGTTGCCGCTCGTTGTTGCAATTTTCCCATTCTTCATCCTCCATGACATCTGGTTTTGCTGCCCGCAAAGCTTTCAAAATTCTCTGTTGAGCCAATAAATCTTTTACTCTTATTTGACACAATCCGAAGTTATCAGTTCCATTGAACTTTACCACATCGAATTTCACATAAGA